GTACATATCCTGTAGGGTAGGAGAAAAAATATTAGAGATGTGTGATTGGCGGCACACATATCTGCTCTCTCGACAAATTGGGGAAAGTATCAGGTACCTGTAATATACATGATTTCTTATTGGAACGAAATAATGTTAAGATGCTGATTTGTTGATCTGTTTAATTTGTTAATCTGTTAATTCGATACTGGCATTCCATACAGACTACGCTCGCTTTCGATTTTTGAGGCTTTCCAATCGCTAACATTGCTGATGTGTTTCAAATGGCGACACATACGAGCATAGATGAAGAATTGGATGCCATGGGTTCCATGGGTTCCATGGTTACAATTACCGTATCGACCTTATCTGCACGGTGGGGCTGAGCGGGGTCGTCCGCCATGTTTTTCCTTCATCGGATCACAGAACAATTTGTGGCTCGCACCTTTGTAGCGATCCCCATCCCAGCCCATACCAGCCCGTAAGACCACGAAAGCAGAAAGCACAACTTGTACATACCATAATCCCAACCCATATCCATAAGCTGAGCTCAGTCCTTTGAAGCACCAGTACCAGTATCGTTACAACCTACTGGCTCTCCTTTGCCACAGAAAGTGTCCGGTTGATGATGATTCGTTTGCTGCGCGTTCCTGCTACAGACACTGCAGCTATGTCTGCCGTCGCGGTGTTCGCAGTTTACCAATTGGCGCTAATTGCGAAGACGGAAGGGGGGAGGGGGTGGGATGAAAAGCAAATGCAGCAGTGGTAAGCCTGGGAACCATAGGTTCCATGTTCCATGTTGTGTTCCATGCGGCCTTGTAATTGGATTCTTCTGTTATGCCAGTGCAGCGTGGGCTGAACAAGGACAAGAAGTTACTGGCGGCGGCACCTACAGAGAAAATGATGATGAGGACAGGCAGGACTACCAGCAGCTACTCCTACTTGCTATACTATACTTGCTTCACTTTCGCTGCTGCTCCCACGATGCCGTCGTCGTCTGTATCTGCCTAGAACACGAAAGCAGAAGCAGTCGAAGAAGAACGCAGAACGCAGAACGCAGAAGTAAGCTGCTACTGCTGGCCATCTCGCAATCCGCAATCGCAATCGCCCATCGCCGGACCAACGTTTTCCCCACCTTTACACGGACAAGCTCGTTCGTTCGCTCGCACGCTCGCTCACTGGAAAGGTGTCGTGACTTGGTATGGTAACGTTGTCTTATGTTGAGGCAGGCAGGAAGAAGTCTTTGTTGAATTTTGCTTATTTTTTCCCAGGCCCAGGGCGATTCAACTTCAGCTTCAGCTGGTAAGTTTAGTTTTTCTCTCGTGAAATACACATGAAGAAGGAAAAAAACATTAAGAAAAATTGTGTGTACAGTTTACAGTTTTTTTTTTCACGAACGACTACATACGGGTTTCTAAACGCGCATATCTCCCAATTGTTTCATAACAATTCGATCATTCCTACGCAGCAAAGCGCTTAACCTGGATTTTTTTATTTACGCAAAAACAAAAAGAAATCACGTTCTGCGCATCATATGCATTACGCATTCCTAGACGAAAAGACCCCCAGTTGTTGATCCGATCCGCGACCGCCGACTTGCGAACGAAAGAAAAAAAAAAAAAACGGTCTTCGGTTTCTTCAAGATTAAGATTGAGGGTCCTGGTTGATTATCGATTATCCCATCACCTCGGTGGAAAATCCTTTCTTACTTACAGCACTTATCTCAACTTACCCCCTCATCGATCGCTGGAAGGATACCATACGGGCACCATAATCATGAAATTCGAAGCTAGCGGTTGGTCCGTGCTGCTGATCTTTGGGTTGGCAACTTTACAGTTGTCCAACGCGGTCTTGGTACGCCGCGTGGGCGTGGAAACTAAAACTATAGTAGTCCATGAAATAACGACAACTGTAAATCCTACCCTAACGGTAATATCAACATACACCCTCCCTTCACCACAACAACAAACAACCGATGGATCGTCAAATAATAACCCGGTAAGCTTGAGGCTGGTGATCTCGATAACCATGAGATAATCCAGATCTATCTATCTGTCTGGGATAGTCAACTAATTTCATCCCAGAGCATGCGCAGAGCAGAAGCTCCTGCAACTACACCAACAACCTTGATTGTATTTATCCCGATCTTGAACTCAAACATTTATCCATCAAGAACACAACTAACCCTACCGTCAGATATCCACACCCATACCCTCCCCAACTCCAACTCCAACCGACACCTCCAAATCCTGTCCCCTCAGCTACCACAGCTGTCCCGGTGGCGGATGTTGCGCCTTCAACTTCCAATGCGGTCCGAACGGTTCCTGTCTAGTTCCCGCAAGCATAACGCAAACACGCACTTGTCACCCACCATTATCGACCTGTCCAGGATCCGTAGGCGGTGGATGTTGTCCCCCCGGTTTTGCATGCGGGAACAAAGACTGTGTATCGCTGATCCCCAACCAAAATGATACCGATGGAACCAACAACATTTCCGTTGCTGGCTCAAGAACAATTTCTGTATCCCATACGAAAATTGCAAAAGTTACAGATGTTGATATTGCAGCTCAATTTACCCCGGGTGTTACGGATACTCCTAAGGCGGTTACGAAAAAGGATTCGAAAAAAATTGCGTTAATTGGTGCTGTTTGTGGTGGTGTTGCGGCTGTCTTGTTGTTCGTTTGTCGGTGTTACTGGTGTGGTGCAGATTAGAAAACGGGGAAATACAGATGTTCCCCAGGGGGTTATGACGGGACATGGTTTCTCGAAGGATGGTCAGGAAGGACAGCAACCTAGGTGGGCGTTCTTAGGAGGATGGAAAGGATCTGATATGCAAAGGCAACAGCAACAGCAGATGGGAATAAGACAACAACAACAACAGGAACCAGTTTTCGATACCCAAACCGGTCATTATGTTATGAGGGAAAGTCAACAAAATATACCAGAGCAACAGATATGGCCTTTAACATTACCGCCGGGAGGGTTCCAGCAGATGAGAAGAGTCAAGACGTTTCCGCCTAGAAGGTCACCGCAAAGATATGAAATTCCGCAGAAAGTGCTGCATCCAAGAGAGATACCACAGATACCACAGATACCAAAAATCCCGCAAAATCAACAGGAACCAATATCTCAAGCCATAGAGATCCTAAAGAAACAACCCATGGAAATAATTTCCGAACTCCCATACGACGAGCCAGATTATGATTCTACTAGCCAATCGGCGAGCCATTCTGCCAGCCATTCAATAAGCCAATCGACAACACCAATGTTAAGCTACCATTCGGAGAGCCCACCGATGATCATAGAACCACAACAACAGACAGAGATACCGAAAAGAACACTAAGTTCTCCGGAAGACGGAGGAAAGGGAAGGCTTTGGATGAGGAATATATAGCTGGTGTTGAAGATCTTGATGTATTTTTATGGCCGATTGGGTCTGGAAGAATTTGGAAAGGGATCATGAGAGAGGAATGAGGGGTGGTTATGATGTTGATAAAGGGAATGGGAGGATGGAACGGTTGGAGATAAGGATGGAGGGTAGGAGGGAGGGTTTTTGGGGAGAGGTATTCGTCTGAAGGAGAGGATGAGAGATGAGGGAATGGTGTGGGAAGTGGGGAATCGATAGTGCTTGCCCGGTGGGAAGTTGGGGGTGGGTTCGGGGGCTCAGCGGTCCGGTGATGGTGTCGGAGGATTGGACAGTGGGGATTGGGGAATGGTGGACCAACACTATCAATCCGGGGGTGTGGGTAGCGCGGGTGAAAGCGCGAGTGGGTAGTGGAGGGCCAATACTGTCCATCCTGGGGGTAAGCCGTCCATTCGACGGGAGGATTACGGTGTAGGAACGAGTCAGATACGGCGGAGATGGGGTGAGCTGTCAATACGGTGAAGTAAGGTAGAAGCGGGGGGAGTGCGGCTGTGGTGAAGATGAGGTCAGGTGGAGCGACATCATGATCCACTACCCTAACCTACTCACCATACCCTAATCAACCTACCAACCTCCCAACCTCACAGCAACCAAACATCAGCCTCTAATACGCCCAGCCACCCACTCACCCAGGATAAAGAGAATGATATAACACTCGTTATTGACCCTGCACAGAGGTTGGTTTTTGTTAAAGGATTTTCCTTTGCAGATTTTATTTTCATTCGTTCGGATATTTTTGGAGCATCATATGGGAGGGGAGTCATCTTTCGTTTTATTTTGTTTTGGTATATTCTTGTTTTTTGCTTTTATTTCTGGGGGCTGGGAGTACTTTCGTTATTTCTGCTTTCGTTTTCGTCATTTTTCTTATCTGGGAGTATACCTTTCGTTTTGTTTCGGCTTTCATCTCTGTTTCTTCCTTGTTTTTCACATCTCGGAGTATATCTTTCGTTTTTGTTTTTTGTTTCTATTTATTTTTATGGGGGTTGGGTGTACTTTCGTTTTTTTTATCTTCCTTATTTTTTCCATCTCTTCCGTTTTCTTCCTTTTTTTTCGTTGTTCTTTCTCCTATCTTTTTTTCTCTTGGATCCGGAGCATATCTTTCGTTTCAATCTGGCTTTCGTTATCTTGGTATTTGTTTTCGTTTCTTCTTCTTCCTCTTTATTGTTTCTTCCTCTTGTTCTATCTTGTTATTTTCCTCCTGGTTTCTGCTGTTTTTTTTTCTTCTTGTCATCTCGGAGTATACCTTTCGTTCGGTTTTCATTTCATATCCGCAATCACTCGTTGGCGTTCTTTATTTTGCATTTATGTAGCTAGGTTTTTTGGGGGGGCGTTACTTTCGCTTAACTGTTTTCACAAAACGATGGAGATGGACCGGGGGGGGGGGGGTATATATGGAATAAGGAATAGACTTCACTTAGCAATATCACCTGCAAAATTCTCATTTTTATGCTAAAAAAAAGAAAAAGATACCCCAATATGTAAAATGTAACCTTTCCCTGAAAGTACTTTTAATCAACTCTGATAACATGCATATAGATATAAGTCTACAAGTACATTAAACAAACCAATCATCCCATCACAGTAGATCCTTACCACTGTCAAGATGTCCGAGTGGTTAAGGAGTTTGACTCGAATTTTCTCATCCCCTGATGAATCAAACGATATCAAATGGTTTCGGCCGCGCAGGTTCGAGTCCTGTTCTTGACGAATGTTTTTTTTGTGTTTAGGCTTCTTTTTGTACCTCTATCGTACATGCGTATATGCATATGCATCACCTTCATATTCTATACATCATCCCCATGCTCCATAGTCCTCCATCGTCCTCTATCGGTCCATTCATTCATCAATATCCCACTTGCTTGGGAAATAACTTTTTTGTTAAAAAAACACTTTTGGCTTTTTTTCTAATTCCAAAACTCCGTCGAAAAATAAATCCCACGTAAGAAAAGTAACGGTTGTTCCTTTTTACTTTTCTCTCTCTCTCTCTA